TGCATAACATGTAGTTTGAATTTGGGTATGAATATTATGATGATGAAATTATCAAAGAGGGTGGGTGAGATGACACTCCCCTGTGGCACCGCGCTTCTTGGATCAAATGGATTTCCGATGGTGTTGCCGAGTTTTATCCTGGCTTGTCTCTCATCTAGGAAATTCCTGAGTAGTTTACAAATTGGGTCAAGTAAATTAACATCAATTAATCGCGCTTTTAGGTCATCATGTCATACGTTTTCAACTGCTTTTGACACATCCCTGAGAATGGCGTTGCATTGTTTTCCTGCGGTCAGTGCCTGGGGTATTTCGTCATATGTAATTGCTATGCCAGTGTCTTTGCCTCTCTCGAATTTATATATCCTGCGTCTTGTAGATATTCCAGAAGTCTTTTATTTATTCCAACCTTCTAGAAAGGAGATTGAGTTTTCTACCTTGTTTAACTATTTTCCAGGTCTGGGGACAAAATTTATAACGGACTGTCCGACCTTTCTGGGAAAGTATCCAGTGAAGAGTAAAGCATTCAGGGTCGCATTCTCTGTACAGGTTGGTGAGCTCATTTCTCCTCTGCAGTGTCCATGCGTGTATGATGTTGAATGAATGAGTATTGATTATCAATTGTTTCTCTTTGGGTCTTATTTTCTGACTGTAGAGCTGCCTTTAATTTATCTCTGATACATTGGATCTTGTTTACCTCCATTATCATTTCTGGTGTGATTTCAATAATCCGTCCTAAAGGTGTCTTATGATCTTTTTCCTCGGAGCTATAATCAGGGTTGGTGAACTGGCAGCTGATGTTGCCATCTTTAATCAATTTTCCTAGTCGTCGCCAGCCACAGTTCTTGTAATTTTGGGCTCACTTGTTTACAGTTCAAGCCCTAGGGTTTCGAGGTCAGCTGGCGTGCCTCCATGTATGAGTCTGAATTTTGGCCTTCGCCGTGTGCATGTTGCGGGAAGGATTCCTTTATGGGTTGCCTTGGTTTTAGCGGATTCTTTTCCTTGCTTCTGCAGCGTAAGGGCCAGGTTTGCGAAGGTTTACTTGGTGGGCGCAAAAAAATAGAAGAATAAGAGATACATAATGTATGTAAGCATGTGCTGAGTTAATTGTGTAAAGGCCGTTTCTGCCATCTGCCTTTGTCGCGGGGCTATGCCTCACTTAACGATGGAGGCCTGGGTCCACTTGGGGAGGTAGCCGTCGGTGTCGATATGAATAGCTGAGGTACTCCTTTTGTCATGACGCCTGTAGATATTCTTAGTCGATTCATTGTCTGTGGAGTCCTCGTCCCGTCCCGCCTATACCTTTGTTGCATCCTCCACAAAGTATACTATACACAAAGCTAAGAGGTCTGCTGTGGTCTGACCTCCTTTTCTTTACGATATCTCCGATCTTCTAACCTGACGCGGAGCTATTTTGAATATGTGGGTCGCCAGGGCCTCTAGGTGCGGGGCGATTGTACAGCGGGTGGTGTCCTGTGGGGCGTCACTCCTGGGCCTGGCCACTATCTTTTCTGCATTGCGGCTTAGGTGGGTGAATGAAGTAATGGGGGCACTGAAAAGTGTTCTTGATATGCCGAATATCCTGATATGGCCACGCCTTTTTTGTCCTTTTCTTATGGACGAGAAAAATAATGAAATAAGTCGTCCTTATTGTTGTTCATCTCGCTCCTCCTCTGTGGTGAATTGTATGGTGGAGTGCACTGCGTTCAGCCGACGGCGGAGATTCAGTAGGTTCGACCACAGTTAAAGTACACACGTAAACTTTAGGTTTGACCTCGTCGGTGCCACGGCGAGGATGTTGCTTACACACCGTAGCCAAACTACATTGTTCCATATTATATTGTTCATGGAAACCCTTTGCCTTAAGGGTTTCCACGAACAGCTGGGCAAGACTACTGAAGGCGGTGAGCCCATCGCAAGTTCCTGAATTTGTTTATATAACTGTCCTCGGAATTCGAACTGATAAAACGTCATACAGAGACAGACGAGTGCGACGAAGTCATCGCTCGGAAGTGGTAGTTGGTCTTCGCCATTTCTTCTAACGTTCGTTTTGCAGCATCGACGTTAGTTTAAACGGCGACTTGACGTAGAAACTGATAAGCTTCTTATACCTTATTTCGCCGTTTCGCCGTTTGGCCATCATATCGGCGGAGTTTGATAGATGGCAACCGCTCATGCAGGTAAGGATGGTTAAGAGGCGCTGCAAGACTCTTAGCTAGTCGGCGGGGGCGCCCCCAGTCCCGTTGGCGATGGGGCTCAGGTTCCTTCCTTAAGTGTCTTGATATTTCCTCGGATCGTCGGCGTGCCTCCTCGAGCTAGCGCAGAAAAGACCGAACTTCTGAGGTCAAATCTCAGCACATCTATTCTCATTCTTATAAGCCCTGAAGAAGAAATATCTATCTATCTAGTTATCTATTTATCTACCTACCTCTCTGTCTATTTATCTATCTATCTATTTATCTATCTATCTATCTATCTATCTATCTATCTATACACACACACACACACTACACACTACACACATATACACACACATATATATATATATTATATATATATATATATATATATATATATATATATATATATATATATATATATATATATATATATATATATATATATATATATATATATATATATACATGCACACACACACACACATATATACATATATGAATATACTTTTATACATGAAAACAAAATTTTAGACTAAACATACAAAAATAACAGATTAGATAACAAGGAAGAAAAAAAAAGAGTTTTTTTGAATGGTTAAAAAACTAAAACAAAGTCTAACATACACAAGAAAAAAAGAAAGAAAAAAAGAAACAGACGACTTACACGTGCCAGAATGTTACATGCATGGTAGGGCGTGTTAGAAATTTAAAGAAATAAAGATACATGCGATTTCCATCAACCAGCTACAACAGAAAAAATAAAGCCGAAAAAAAAATAAACAGACGACTTACACGTGCCAGAATGTTACATGCATGGTGCGGCGTGTTAGAAATTTAAAGAAATAAAGATACATGCGATTTCCATCAACCAGCTACAACAGAAAAAATAAAGCCGAAAAAAATATACATACATATATACATATATAGTGAGTGAGAGAGAGAGAGAGAGAGAGAGAGAGAGAGAGAGAGAGAGAGAGAGAGAGAGAGAGAGAGAGAGAGAGAGAGAGAGAGAGAGGAGAGAGAGAGAGAAGAGAGAGAGAGAGAGAGAGAGAGAGAGAGAGGGAGGGAGAGAGAGAGAGAGAGAGAGAGAGAGAGAGAGAGAGAGAGAGAGAGAGAGAGAGAGAGAGAGAGAGAGAGAGAGAGGAGAGAGAGAGAGAGAGAGAGAGAGAGAGAGAGAGAGAGAGAGAGAGAGAGAGAGAGAGAGAGAGAGAGAGAGAGAGAGAGAGAGAGGAACCAGAGAGAGAGAGAGGGAGAGAGAGTGAGAAAGAGAGAGAGAGAGAGGAAGAGAGAGAAAGAGAGAGAAAAGAGAGAGAGATAGAGTGAGAGATAGATAGATAGATAGATAGATAGATAGATAGATAGATAGAGAGAGAGAGAGAGAGAGAACGTGCTCAAAACAACTCCTAAAACATCCCCAGACAAGGAACTTACGTGGCGGTCTTGCTTGAGTTTCTCGGGGTCAGTGTCGTCCGCAGCAGAGACCCTCAGCTCGAGCTCACTTCTATGAGAACTGTCATCTGGGATTTCCTCCGTCGGGTCCTTGGCCATTGCTTCTCCCTTCTCTCCTCTCTTTCCTTCTAACGTCTTCTGTTATGTTTATTTCTTTTCCTTCCCTTTCGTCTCTTATGACTCTTTCTTTTTCTTCTTTTTCGCCTGTTCCTTTTCTTTCTTCTGTCCTTTTTATATGCCTCTTTCTTCTACTACGTCTCCTCCTTCTCCCTTTTTTATTCTATTTATTCTTCCCCTTCGTTGTCCTCCTCTTCTACGTCCCTCCCTTCTTGTTCTTGTTCATCATATAAGCTTGTTATTAATGATTATCGTCTTATCACTTTCAGCAAGTCTTAGTATTAACAGCCATGCCTCTTCCAGTTTCTTCCACCATGTACTGTCCCAGGTGAGATATTTATCTATTTATCTCCGTTTCTCATTTTTTCCAAACCAAATATATTGTTCTTTGCGGCGAGTATTTTCCTTTTCTTTATAGTCTCTTGACTAGATTTCCACCTTTTTATACTCTATTTATCATAGGAATATTTACATGTTTTTTAATTTTTCGTTCAACGGTCCTCAGTCACAGACACTTAAGTACCTCTAAACACACGTTAAACGAACCACAGTCTGGCGAGAACGCAACGAGTTTTAGCCGCGAAGTCTACGCCCCTCCCACCTAGCCCCCCCCCTTTCCCCCTCCCACCTGACCCCCCCTTAGCTTACCCCCTTTCCCCCTCCCAACTAGCCCCCCTTTCCCCCCTCCCTCCTACTCCCCCATCCCCCCTCCCCCCTGACCAGCGCAGCTCCTCACGTGCCAAAAAGTGGGGGAGGTTTGGGAAAACATTGAAGTCTGAAAAGGGAAAGGAAGAGAAGGGAGAGGGAGAGAGAGAACGGGGATAGGAGGAAGGATGAATAAGGGGAAGGGAAGTATAGGAAATGAAGAAGAACGGGAAAAGAAGGGAAAGGGAGCGAAGAGGGAAAGGAAGAGGGAAATAAAGGAAAAAAGGGAATGCGAAGGGAGTAGAGGAGGAAGGATGGGTAAGGGGAAAGAAAGAGTAGGAAGGGGAATGAGCGAAGGGGGAAAGGAGGAAGTGAAGGAAGGAAGGGGAAAAAGGCAAGGGGAAGAGAAAAAGGAGGATTAACGAAAGGGAAGAGAGGAAATAAAAGGGCAAGGAAGGGGATGGGAAACGAGAGCAAAACAGTAAAGATGGAAAAGAAAAGGTAAAGGGAGGAGAGAGTGAAGTGAAGGGCGAGGAAGGAGGGAAAGAGAGAGGAAGGGGAGAAGGGAATTCACGGGCGAGGGAGGAGCAGGGAAGAAAAGGAAAAAATGGGGCGGAGCAAAGACAAGAAAAAAAAAAAAACAGGTGAAAATAGGAGAAGGAAAAGTAAAGAGGTGTCGGCGCAGTAACGTTTATTTTTTTAAATTCTTTTTTCAGTAGACGCTGTTCGTCGTAGAATCTATTTTCACTCACACATTCATACTGCACACATACACAGATACACACAGATACACACACATAGACGCACACACATACAACACACACACACACACACACACACGTACACACACACACACACTCTCTCTCTCTCTCTCTCTCTCTCTCTCTCTCTCTCTCTCTCTCTCTCTCTCTCTCTCTCTATCTATCTATCTATCTATCTATCTATCTATCTATCTTTCTCTATCTCTATCTATCTATCTATCTCCCTCTCTCTCTCACGTACACACGACATTTACCCTATCAACACATTAGAGACTCTATTTTTTGAGAACTAAGCACGAAATGGCAAACTTTTAAATGTAAACAAAAGAGTCACGCACTGCATAAACATAAAAAGCCATACACATTCATATGTACACTGCACACACAAACACAATCACGGCTTAAACTTTTACGCACATACGACCACTAACGTACTCTCCGGTCGTTCTACTTTCACACGTTGTTGTTGGCAAGATCCAAATTGGTCTTCTCTTTAGCCTCTCTCTCTCTCTCACTCTCTCACTCTTTCTCTCTCTCTCTCTCTCTCTCTCTCTCTCTCTCTCTCTCTCTCTCTCTCTCTCTCTCTCTCTCTCTCTCTCTCTCTCTCTCTCTCTCTCTGTCTATCTATCTATCTATCTATCTATATATCTCACAATATATGCACAAACAATGACGACAAGTGATACTTGTGGATTTCTATTTTTACAAGACATAATTGTTCAATTTCATTGAGCGGTGATTTTTTTAGATATGAAAGACTAATAAAATCAAAAGAAACTATTTTTATTTTCCTTTCTTATCGTCCTACATTTGCTTTGATTTCACGGTCAAGAACGCACAGAATTCTGTGTCGAGGACGCTCTACAGCGCATTCGCAAATACCGTGTGATTTTTTTTTATTTCAATTGAAATTATGTATTTTATGATCTCTCATCCTCGTTTATACTTCAGAGTAGTTACTTTTACATGTTGATTCTTCTATCTTAATGATGCAAGGAGAGTGAGCAACAGGTTATCAGTTATTAAAGAATTGTGTTATGAAATATGACTTCGCATTGTATCCTCCCTAGTTTTTGAGGACACTGGGGCGCTTGCGTGTACGCTCGCACGTTCTGGGTCACGGACGAAATTCTACCAAATCTTCACTGGACACTCCTAATTCTCCCTTTATTGACTTAGTTTCAATTTACTGACTAGTGACTTTTAACAGTGTTTACGTACATACATATATATGGTCACATAAAGGATGCGGGTTTTGAGCTGAAACAGCGTGAAAGAAGTGGCGAAGTTAGGGGGCTGGGGTTCTAACCGGAGGCCGGAGGTGCCTGAGGAAGGAGAGAGGGAAAGGGGGAGAGAGGGAATAAAGGAGAGGGAAAAAGGAAGGAGGGAGGGAGAGACAGTGAGAAAGAGTTAAAAAGGGAGGAAAAGAAAGGAGAGAGGGCGGGAGGGAAAATGATTCATTTTGATATCGTTTTATAGATGAATGTAGTGAAGCGCGAGGAGGATCGTAGAAGTCGTAGATCTCACAGACAGCAGATATATGACTTCGAAGTTTAATGAAGGGTGCCCAACATACTGCTTAGCTTCCTAACATGTGGCCCGCGTAGTTTTCTGCTCAGCCTTACAGTTCATACACCTATATCTCAGAAAAAAATGGCTCCTTAGACAAACAAACACCCAAAAAAGAAATAACAGAGACTAAAACGAAAAAAGATCCACTCCCGCAGAGGACCGGCCAGTTACCAGCAGCGCCACAGGTTCCTCGGGGGCAGCGCCGCGAGGTCTTGGCAGTCTCCCTCGCGACGTCAGGCAAGGAGAATGCCGTCGCTTGATCAGCCTGGGGTTCACAGCGAGGAGGGCAGCGAGGGAGGAAAAGCGAAAGGGAGAGAATTTGGAAGAGGGAGAGAGGAAGGAGGGAAAGAGAGAAGGAGGGGATAAGGGAGGGAGGGAGGGGAGGATGTATACAATATGCGTGGTACGCATATTGTCCCAGCAGCTCCCTTCCTGTAGCAAGTTCCATCTTGAGCGGGCAAAAGTGTCCGCACTGCTTTCACTTCTGCAAGCGGAAACAAACACCGGCCTTCGAAGGGAGCCGCCGCATAAAAGGACACGTCTTCTCAGACAGAGAACAGGGAGAAACGACAGACACACAAAGACACAGGTCTAGCTCTTCAGTACCACGTCCTGGAGGGGGGGGGGGGGTCTCGCATCAACCTTCCGCAACAAACCCACAGGCCAAGACCCCTTTCATTCACCTGCACTAAGACCACTCCCGTCTCGTTGACATCTAGTGACAGTGGTTCACCTTCACAACTTTGCTCCCGACTCCTATCTTCACATCTGGTGGAAAGCAGAGGAAAATATGTAGGGAGGAAGGGAAGGAAAGTGGTGTAAGAGAATAAGAGGGGGAGGGAGGGAGCGAGAGAAAAAGAGAGGGAGAAAGGAAGAAGGCAGGGAAGGAAATTAAGAAGAGAATAAGGGAGAAAGAGAAGGAGGGGAGTCAGGATCGAGGGAAACAAAAACAAAAAAAAAGATAGAAAAGGAGGAGGATGAAAATGAGAGATAATAGGGAGAAAAAGATAAATGAGATGGACAGGAGAGAGGAAGGAAGGAAAACAGACAGGCAAACAGAGAAAGAGAGACAGAACAGATAAACCGCAATAACTTTAAAAGACAGGCCATTAACCTCTGTCTCACACATAAAAGAATAGAAAGAGTAAAGATTTTTTTTTCTTAGATACTTAGATATGTTGCCAAAAGTAATGAAATAAAAGATAATTAAAACATTCACAGGTTCTGAATGCAAAATTACAGCATTCCAAACGTTCTCTGCACGTATATATCTAGATATCGAATTGTCTTCTTTTCTCTCTCTCTCCATATTTATCTATCTATCTATCTATCTATCTATCTATCTTCCTCTCTATCTATCTTTCTCTCTATCTGTCTTCCTCTCTATCTATCTATTTATCTATCTATCATGACCCAACCCAATCGAACTTCACCCGACCCAACTTGAGCATATATATATATATATATATATATATATATATATATATATATATATATATATATATATATATATATATATATATATATATATATATATATATATATATATATATATATATATATACATATATGTATATATATATAAATATATATATATATATATATATATATATATATATATATATATATATATATATATATATATATATATGTATATATATATATATATATATATATATATATATATATATATATATATATATATATATATATATATATATATATATATATATATATATATATATATATATATATATGCTCAAGTTGAGTCGGGTGAAGTTCGATTGGGTTGGGTCATGATAGATAGATAGATAGATAGATAGATAGATAGACAGAGAAGAAGATAGATAGAGAGAAAGATAGATTGAGAGGAAGATAGATAGATAGATAGATAGATAGATAGATAGATAGATAGAGAGAAAGATATATATATATATATATAAATATACATATATATATATATATATATATATATATATATATATATATATATATATATATATATATATATATATATATATATATATATATATATATGCTCAAGTTAGGTCGGGTGAAGTTCGATGGGTTGGGTCATGATAGA